CAGCATTGCTGAAATGTGCACACCCAAGTTGGTCTCCTGCAATGATTTAAGTTTGCAATTATGACCACGACTGATTTGTTACATATAATCTGTTAGGAAATTAATCACCTTACATATATGGTTTCCATTAGAACTCTTAATGGCTTCGTATAATTGCACTCCTAGTTACAATACAACGTGCAATATGAAGCTATTTACTTTCATCAACTTTTGATTAATAATTTTGAGAGATGAAAAAGTTTCTAACCACTTCAATCAAAAAAGGTTATGTTATTTCTATTAGGTAACCTGAGGACATTAATTAGGTATGAATTTCGCAACATTGATGATATAGCAGTCATGCCATCTAAAAGCAAATGTACCACCATGGATGGAATCAGTTTGTTTGTGGTCATGCTACCCCCAATTTATGCCTATAACACCTTCTACATTGTTGGTCAAGAACTCGCAACATGTCTCATCAAGGAAACGCCACGAATAGAAAAATCTAGCGACGACCTCATGATCGTGATGCTCGTCACGGATTATCCAAGGTTTTTTAAACCTGATAAATGCAAATTGATGAAATTTGTATACGTTTAAGGAGAGGATTTATCAAAGGTTTCTATCTTTTTCTGTTGTGGGTTTGAGGGGGATTTGTTGCAAGAGATTTCAAGGAATGTGTTGGTATTTTTAACATTGTCAAAGGGAAAGAACTCTCCGTCCTTGAGTTTCGGAGGTAGATTCCTGTACATGGGAGGGTCAGATTTTTTAACATGTAGAAAAATTGTGCAAATACAAAAGAGGGAATTGTCAATATTTGGAAAATAACAACTATACATAAACCTCCCGTACATTTTTATGACAATTATAAGGACACCTCTTCCCTTTTCAAGAATTACAAAAACATCTATTGAAATTTACTTTTGAGTAACAGATTCACTCCAATAAAAAGTAAAAAAATTATTTCACATTTACATAATACTATTTTGGAAGTTTTATTTCATTGTATTTGATATGAACTGAAATGCTCCAATACCAGCTTCTTGTGAGAAAATAAGATATTATAGTTGCAATATGAAGTAAAGATCACAAGAACAATGTAATTTTGTAGAGAGTGGAGATTTTATTATAATAAGGAGAAAGAACACAAAGATTACGTGTTTACAGTATTTCAAACTTCTTATGGGGAAAAATCAATCTCCAACTAAATTGTAAAGAAGAGTCAAATATATATATAGAACAAATAGGGGATGTCTAAACTCTTATAGTAGAGTTGTAGATGAAGTAGAATGTCAAAAAAGGGAGTCTAAAATGGAAAGGGCAATTAGCAAAAATGGTTCCAATCATTTACATTCATTGCTAAAATAGTCCTTATCGTTTTAAATTTGATATTTATACCATTATTTCCAACCTTTGTTGCGGAATTGGTCCTTTTCATCCACTTCCGTTAAGTCCTCCGTTAAATAAGGTAAAATGGTTTTGATTTTTTCTTATTTTTGTCTCAATTTAACGGGATTATTACGGGATGTCAAATGAAGTCGTAATATTCTATTCTTAATATCATTTCAAAGTGATCATGATCTAGTTTCCTACATCCCTAACGGCGTGCGAAATGACCAATCGTAGCAAAAGTTATCATTCATCGAAGTAGGCCGTTCCAAACTATATTACGATTTTTCTTATTTTTGTCTCAATTTTGTAGGATTATTACGAGATGTCAAACGAAGTCGAAATACTACGTTCTTAATATCATTTCGAAGTGCTCACGGCTTAATTCCCCCCATCCCTAAAGGCATGTGAAACGGTCAACCGTAGCGAAAGTTACCACTCGTCGAAGTAAGCCGTTCCAAAATATATAAACGATTTTTCTTATTTTTGCCTCAATTTTGCGAGATTATCAAGGGATATCAGAACGAAGTCGAAATATTGCATGCTTAATACCATTTCTAAGTACTCACGATCTAATTTTTCCCATCCTTAACGGCTTGCGAAACGGCCAACTGTATTGAAAGTTACCACTCGTCGAAGTATGCCGTTCCAAAATTGAGACAATTCTTTATTTTTCTTATTTTTGGTAAGGCTTACTTCGACGAGTCGTACCTTTCGCTACGGTTGGTCGTTTCGCACACCGTTAGAGATGTGGGAAATTAGGTCGTAAGCAATTCGAAATGATAATAAGAATGCAATATTTCAACTTCGTTTGATATCCCGTAATAATTCTGCAAAATTGAGACAAAAATAAGAAATATCGCTTATATATTTTGGAATGGCCTACTTCGACGAGTGGTAACTTTAGCTACGTTTGGCTGTTTCGTACGCCGTTAGGGATGGAGGAAACTGGGTCGTGAGCACTTCGAAATGGTATTAAGAATTAAATATTTCGTTTGACATTCCGTAATAATCTCACAAAATTGAGACAAAAATAAGAAAAATTCAAAACCATTTTACCACATTTAACGGAAAGGACCAATTCCGCAACAAATGTATGAAATAAGGGTATAAATATCAAATTTAAAACGATATGGACTATTTTAGCAATGAATGTAAACGAGAAGGACCATTTATGCTAATTACCTAAATGGAAAAGAAGACAAACAGCATGACTGGTGTTGCAGCGTCGGCCTCCTGTTTTATTTACACATCGTCTTCGACCCAAACACCTTCCATTGATGTTTTTCTTTTTTCCAAAGTCTGCAAGTCCAACACAAATTCATACTTCCAATGTGCTTTCAAGTAGATCTTCAATTAGAATTTGCCAAAAAAACTTGAATGGAATTTCAATAATAGCATTCCGAATAAATTTTTTCTTAATGTGCATTTTAATTAGAATCTCAATTATCTTCAACAAAGAATTCAAATCACACCCAAATTCTAGCGGTTTTTGAACTATATATATATTGTTGGCATCCGAACTCCGAGGTCAATAACTACAGTTTCTTATAGTCGATGAGCTGGTGCTATTGTCAGTTCAGTATATTTGAGGTCAGCTCGAATTAAGATATTTATTGAGGCTTGTAGGGACATAATGATTATTGATTTCTGGCACATTGCACAAACAGTAAATCAGTGAGCAGCATATGGGTGATCTTACATCAGCGCCCAAGCAAAGTCCAGACACAATTCACATAGAATAGTCATACAAACTTTCATAAAGTCACGTGCAATTCTAATAGTGAAGAAAGAAATGGACAACAAATTCACAAAAAATTCAAGGCAAATAATTAACAAATAATTCCCAGGTCTAGCAACAGACAATGATTATCTCTTCATAGTAAACCCAATCCTAATGTCATCCCACACGATGACTTCTAATGCAAAAAGTAAAAAACTATCCCATACTATAACCATCACTGCATGTAATTCGCAGAAAGTGACCCTTAAAAAGTTTCCATTTCCCTTTTAAGTTGGCTTGAATATTGTTCATACAATTTTCGACATCAACAGTTTGACGCTGGAAGCAGCCCCATTTCCTTAAAATTAATATTCACAAGGAAATATCATCATGGATGATTTGTCAGTATCTGGAAATAGGTCTTATACTTGTCCCAAACAAACCAGCAACCAACAACATGCTGGAAGTAGACTAAGTCAAAACAAAGCTGTCGACCCTCAAATGACAATAATGAGGAAGGCCATTGAGAAGTTGACAAAAGCAGTCGATAGGCTAGAACGAAATCAAACCTACGTTCTATCGCAGGACACCGAGGTGGATTCTCCACATAGGGAGAAAGCCAGACGACTTCCCACCAGAGGAACTCTTCGGTTCTCAGGAGAAGAATCTTCCAAAAGCCGAACGGAAGAAATCAGGAGCTCTACCATAACAGCCAAACCAGCCGCTAAAAGAACTAAAAGTGTGTTTGATAGGTTGGGTTCTCAACACTCCTTAACACTTGTGAGTGGGCGTGATGAATCCCCTGTCGAACGTTTATTAGAACGACCAGATCTTGGAATGAGTGCCTTAAAAAACGTATTGTTGACCTGGAAGCTAAGGATAAAGGAAATACAGAAGAATACTTAACAAAACGCCATTCTCCTTAGCCATTTGGACAAATACACTTCTTGGATGGAACTCCAAGGAGCAGGGGATCACATTATGTGTCGTGCTTTCCCATTGACCTTGGGAGACAAAACTCAAAGATGGTTTAGAATACTACACCAAAGGTCCATAAAAAATTGGAATGATCTTGCGGGCGGTTGGTAAGCATTAAACAGGGGAAGACCGAGTCACTCAAAAGAGACCTTAGCAGGTTCAACAAACAGTCCATAGAAGTTGAGAAGATCTCAGATGACACGAAGATGGACCTAGGACGTATCATGAGTTCCTAGGCCGGGTTGAAAAATATATAAGTGCAGAGGAGGCCTATCTGACCAGGAAGAATCTAAGCCAAAACCATCGCCTTCATCTCAAGTCAAGGAGAAAAACGTGGGCAAGGGTTTTGGCCAAGAAATGAGAAAGGACGGAAGAGATCAAGGTCCTCCTAAGCCTTATTCCGATAGATTTCATGAATATCATCCGCTAAATGCCACCTTGGAGGAAGTTTTCTCGCAAGCGGAAGAAAAAGAGACATTTCGTAGACCCCCGCCTCAGAGAAAGGAGTTGGCAGGAAAAAATCAAGGGAGGTATTGTCGATACCACAAGACGACGAGACATAACATTGACAATTGCAGGAATTTGAAGGAAGAGGTGGAATCCTTAATCCGGCTAGGTCACTTGCAAGAGTTCGTAGCTAAACCCAGAAAAACGAATCAAGCAA